CTGGATACAAAGGATCAGGAAGGAGTGATGGTTCCCCTGGTGTCTGGTGTGCCAAGACAAGGAATGGAACAGTACCCAGGCTAGGAGGAGAGATGGGCAGGGGAGATGGGAGGGTGAATAAGGCTCCAAATATGTTTATTTTAATTATAAACTTGAAATGAAGGATGAACTGTGGGTGTGGACAGATGTCTTCTTCTGGCCTCTGTGAGCACTGCATATTTGCACATACGTGTTGCACTTACATACATGCAGGCAACACTCATACACATAAAAAATACAAATAAATATAACTTTTTATAAAAGGATTCCAGCTGTTCCCTAGATGACTAGAAACTCCAAGGTCCTGTGTCTCTGTTCTTGGGACTGTTAAGAGCAGATCACCTACATGCAGTGCTAGCTTCAAGGCCCTCAAGCCCCCCGTGTGAATAAGCAAGGAAGTTGTTACTGTCCCATTTTACAGAGAGGGTCAGAGCTACTGAGTAGCATTCCTTACCCTAGAACCAAAGTCTAAAATAAAGTTTGCATAGGAAAGTTATTAGGATGGGGCTGGCTTATGTAGGTCCTAGCTCAAGCAAAGGTATACAGGATCTTGTGTGAGGGCTGCCTGGATGGAGGCCTCATTTGTGTAATATGTATGTGGCTAGTTGCTCCACAGCAGTGACAGAATACTTACTCTGTACAAGGCTAGATACAGAGTAAGGCTGTTCCAGGTGGTAGTTCATTTCATTCTCATGACAAAGCTGTGAGAAAGGTATTACTGCTGAACTTAAATTCATAGGGTTACATACAACTAGAAAGTAGCAGAAAAGATCTGCACCTCAGTGATATGATCTAGAACCTGCCTGTATACCATGACATGAATGCCAACAAAGGAATCTGCTAATTCACTTGAGAAGAGTTTTCACTTTCTTGGCAGGGCATCATCTACATACAGTACTCTACTTTTTATTTTGTGTGGATAAATGTTTTGCATGTATGTATAAGTCCACCACAGAGGGTGTCAGACACCCTGGAATTGGTGGTTGTTAGCTGCCATGTGGGTACTTGGAACTGAACCTGGGTCCTCTGCAAGAGCAGCCTGTACTCTTAACCACTGAGCCATCTCTTCAGCTTCTACATATACTTGAAACTGCTACAGCCATCTTGTGACCATAGACGTCATGGCCAAGTATGGTGGAGTAGGAAGATGGAAAGCTCTGATGGTCTGAGGACACCCCTACTCAACTGAATTAACTACTTTTGGAATTCTTTTCTTGTGAGACCATGAATCTAACATCTACTTTAGTTAAGTCTCCTATTGTAGCAAAAAACACTCTCATTGATACATGAATAAATAATCACAGTCCCAGCCAGAGACTCTTTTAGAGGGCTTAACTACTTGTACTATGTATAAAATTTTCATCCAGTTAAAAGATATTAACAGCCTTTCATAAGCTAAGTATGATGGTGAATCAAAGAAAATGGGAAGGGCAGGTTTCTTCACCCAAGGTGATTATAATCTGCTGGCAAATACAATGAAAGTGGAGGGAAGTATATTGTTGAGGTACCCTGATGACTAATCTGGACTGGGAGGTCACAGAAACCCCTAATAAAATACAGGAAAACCACACTTAAAGAAGGCAATATTAGTATCATCCTTTTTTTTTTTTTTTTTTTTTTTTTTTTTTTTTTAAAAAAAAAAAAAAAAAAAAGAGGACGATAAATCTTTCACTGTGATATATCAAAATAA